CATTAACAATTTGGCTTTCCTTCTATGCACAAAACACACTTATCAGATGAATGAAAATTCTCGCATCCACTGCCCAAGGAAAATGGGAGACAAGAAGAGTTGGCGCCATAAAGAACAATACCTAGATTTCTAAAAGAGTACATGTGTGTGTGAAGGTCAGGTAGTAAAGTTAAAATGGGTAAAGAACCGAATAGATGACTGGAGCTACGCTTTCATTAAGGGAATTTTCAAGCATAAAGCATCATTGCTCCTTTGCTGATGGGTTTTCTGTACAATCAATATATTTTCACAAGTAATGGGGCCTATCATTTTTATTCTACACAAAACAGAAGCCCACTGCCACTGTATTTTGTCAAGTTGCTGTGTTGAAAAACCGTCCAATGTAACGAACAGGTGGTGTATTTGCAAGTTAATGAATTGTAAGGCATCCAAGATGTAAGACCAGAGAGTGGTCTGATAAATCGATAAATCGCTTTTCAAAAGAGCTCTGTAGACTTGGAAATATCACCAATTCAAAAGTGTCAGCCAACTTCAATAGAATCACCCTCCTTTGTACCTGAATAATAACAGAGGAAACCAAATCAGAAACTTATTTAACATTGCCTCTTGCTTCATTCCATCGCTATTTCAATGATGACCCAATAGCATGCCGAAATAAAAAGGCTTAAAGAAAGTGAATATTTCGAGCAGATACAGTGAGAAAATATGCAAACACTATTTCTTTCATCACTAACCAGGAAAATAAAAACGAATTCAAGTACACAAATTCCTTCACCACTAGGACTCTAGGAGACAGTTTACTTCATCAGTTCATATAAACAAAAGAAAGTTTCACATTTCCACATATCTTTCCTAAAAGGCAGTTGTAATTGACTTCTCTATCACTTCGGATTCTGTACCACCAATATTGAAGAGACTTAGGATCTTCACAAATCTTTTCTAATGGTAAATTTACTCTAACAAAGGCGGCAAGATTGTTTGGCTCTTTTCTAACTTTGGCAACAAAGGCTACAAAATGAAAAGAATGAGGAAGGAAATAGATCCAACTCTTAATATCCATGATGCAAAGAATGACAACTTTGATTCCTTTATCAGAAAACTTAAACATCTATGCACTATCCTCAGCAAGCTTGTCATCTGTGCATGCACCTACTTAAGTATCATGTCAGGTGTGTTATTAAAAATCTAATGGTAGGACAAAATTCAACAACTGGATAAGCTATAATCATAAATAATTCACCACTTGACCAAACAATTATATGTCATACATAGATCATCCATGCAGAAACATGATCAGATCCAGTTTCCATCCTCAAGTAAAATATAAAAGACAGCTTTACCAAGCATGAACCTATATCAGTTCTAGAAAAAGATTTCAAGAACAATGATAAGCAAAACTGTAACTTACAGTGCATGCCCTAGGTCACTTCCATCTTTGTTGCATGTGAACAATCTTTGATAACACCAGAGCCTCCATTTGCAGACAACTCCACAGATTTAGAATTACCATCATACTCTTTGTCACATGTAAACTCAAGTTGTTTCTCCACAGACTTGAAAACGGCATTCCTCCTGGCTCTTAACCGGTATGGAGGAGATGCATTAAAAGCCTTACCATTAGGCCCAATAGTGTTGATACCTTGACTGGTTGGACTCTCACTCAAACTTTCTTCTTGAGACCCAGACATTTCCGCACTGTTTTTGTGTCTTTCCTGTTCATCAGAAACATTAAGCACTTCCCTGACTGATTCACAATCCACCAACCCAATTTTATTAGGAGGCAAATGTCCTTGGGAAGTATTCTTTCTCTTTCGCAAGATGGAAGGAGTATTGGGGAAGGTCTTGGCAGCCATTTTCAAAATTGATTCAGGACTTCGATTGCATAAACCACTGCCCTTCACACAAGGCGGAGTGTAGAAACTTACAGGTGATACATTTGGACTAGAAGCATAATCATGTTGAAAGCAACGCATGCTTGAAAAACCTGAATCAAATCGACCACAACTTTCTAACGGTGGTTCGTAGTACAAAGGGCCGTAGCCTGGAGTTTCAACTGGCACAGGTGTTCTCTTAACTCTGTCTTCATCTATTAGGTTGTTAAATCCACAATTCTCAGACTCTGCCTGGCTGTTAATGATACTCTCAATCTGGGGCTCGCTGTTTACTGCAAAATTCTCAAACTTTGACCCTGACTCTGAGTTGCAGCAACTAAGATCTCTAAAGGATGATCTCAGCTGACATTCTACACCTTCAGAATCAGCAGGCTCATTTGGAAGAACACTTGATGAAGCACCCAAATCCTGATGTGGGGCGGAGGACTCAAGCTGATCCTTGCCATCTTCATCTAGCTTACATACATCTGCATTTCCAGATGATGTCTGAGCAGTTGAATCTGATCCTTTAGTTGAACAAACAAGTAATCTTTTAGTTGCAGTGGATTTACTTGTCTCTTTGGCACCATTCTGGGAACTATTCTTTGCAGCTGGTGGAAGTTTCCCAGTAGCCAAATAGAAATCTAATTTTTTCTTCAAGGAACTATTCCAATGATTCTTTATTGCATTATCAGTCCTACAAACACAAAGTTATACAAAATTTGACTTAGTAAACAGTACATACGCACAATAATACCAAAGAACTTGATTTTCAAAATACATGTACCCCAATGTTGCCCTAATTTAGCACCTCAATGCCATTCATAAATAAAAAATCAATCAAGAAAGATACCTTCCAGGTAAAACCTTAGCTATTTCAGCCCATTTGTTCCCATGTATCCGATGGGCTTTCATAAGTGCTAATTCCTCCTCCAACGTCCAAGCATCCTTCTTTATGTCTGGATTCAAATGATTGTGCCACCTGTATAAAAAAAATAAAAAAATTTGTTCCATTGTTTTTACACGTGTATACACTGCCCAAACCATTTATTTGCTTTTCATGAAGAAATCAATTGGAAGATCCAAGCCAATGGAAGGAATACATTGATGCATAAAGCATCAGAGTCATACAAAACTAAAGGTAATAAAAAGAATACATCTTAATACCAGAAAGAAAGAAAAAGATCATTTTAAGAGGAACATGAAACAGATCAGGTCAGCATTATAGTGCTCAAGAGTTCCAGGGTCACATATGACAACAACATAAGGACTTAAACTTATGAAGGTTACCTCTCCCGGCATTGTTTCCCTATACGGCCAGGCAAAGACTTCGCTATTAATGACCATTTTGTAGGTCCATACTTTGCTACCAGTTCAATGATTTTATCATCCTCCTACAAAACAAACAAGTTAAAGAAAGTTCAATGTAAAGCTACAAGAAAGGATCACAAAAAGTAAGGATGGTATCAGGTTCCAACCTCTTGAGTCCACGGTCCTTTAACAAGATCTGGATTAAGAACCTTCTGCCACCGATGCAGACATTGCACTTCCGATCTATCAGGAAAAAATTCAGCTGCATACACATTGTTCCAAATATTAGATTAGTTGCCTGAATTTAAGCATAATATGACAACAAATAAAATACTCGGTAATACAGCCAAGACTAGGTTTCTAGTCGTGTGTGTAATTTATATACTGTTCTACCCCCTTTTGGTAATTTACAACATAGGTAGAACAGAATTAGTGGATTGAACGAACAGTAACACACCCAGTCTACTGGGACATCTATGTCATATGATTGGTTTGCTTTGAATTTTTAGAGCTCTGAAT